CGCCGGACCTAACCCGATCCTGAAACTCACCCTAACCTTAACCCTAAATTCCCTGAACCACCCCGAAGGGGGGAAATCCTAACTTCCCTAAACCTAACCTGCGGCCTACTGTTCTCACTCTCTTTCCCGATCTCTGAATTTTCTTGGGGATCCTAACGGGCATCCCCGATGCTCGTTACACAACTGATTAACAAATATGAACTGCACAAAATGATGAAGTAGAAATTTTAAGTGAATAAATTACCAGTCCTAACGACTGTTCCAGTACATTGTAGGTGTTGCCCTTTTCTGAATTCGCAACTGTAAGTATCAGGGAAATCGGAGATTTTCACATCCAGAAAATACTTATTAGCAGCAATGGGTCCATAACAGGTATTACCAGTGCTATCAGTTTGCTTATGGATCACTCCCCAAGGAGTTTTAATGAAACCTCTCACAGCCTAAAAGTAAAAAAGACAAATATGAGCAAATGGATGAATAGTTGAAGAAAATTAGGAAAAAAAAAATAATAATAAACATAATCAACTTACCAATAATTTTTTTATGATTAGCGACTTCAGTCAAAGGAACGAGCACCTGTTCACTGTTTTCGGATATTTGAGGAAACTTCATTTTACCCAAATCTGTAACACTTGTATTAGACTGAATAATCAACTCATAAGGAACGCTTCCAGAATTAAATTGTTCCTTGACAGATTTGGGGTATGCTCCATTAATATGAACGACCTGAAAAATAAGAAAATAGAAATGAAAAAAAGTAAATCAGAAACAGAAAAATATTCTATAAAATATTATACGTAGGGAAATATATCGTAAGAACCTACAGAATTCCTTACAGAATCTTAGTTTTATTATTGTAGTTAAATTTCTACTGAAAAAATCCATAAGTAGATTAGCAAATGAAGAAAATTGACTTACATGATGAATTAATAATTTGTCCATGAACATTTCGATGGTTTCACCCCACATAACACACTGGACTGTTTCACTATCCAGATTAGTGAAAAGTTAAAAAAACACAAAAAAATTTTGTGAAAAAATGGCGCCAAGTCGACGTGAATCTGATCGCCTCCAAGACAGAAACAAGGTACAATTACTGAATGGTTGAAATCACACAGTAGGCGAACTGATTATGATATAATCTTATTTTAAAAAAAACATGGAAATATTAAAAAATGCCTTGCTTCGCGTCCACGAAACGCTGACTACGGCTGTTATGACAAAAAATAGTGGGCGTCATACGGCCAAAAAAATTTGTCGACCAATATGATTGTTGCAAATGTCATCTTCGCTAGAAAAGTTTTTTTCGGCCTAATGACAAAATATACTGTTTCAAACCCCGTCCATAGGAAATTGATTCGGAAAAAAGTCAAATTGGCGCGCCGGGCTGTTCGATAATGAACATACTTCGTAGGAAGTGACTGATTGACAAAGCTAGAGTTCGCACGCTAATTGGCAAAACGCCAAAACTATTGAGATTTGAGTCAGCTTATTATATCAACAATTGGATTCCGTATACCTGACGTGTACTCAACCTAATCACCAATGAACGTCAAATAGCATATCGGTATGAGGAGAGTGGGTACCCGTCAGTGTGATGGCGCGTTCATAAGCGACGGAAGGTGGTACACTCACATTCTTAGACAACGGCAAAGAGTAGGGGACGAAGATCATCAGTGAATAGTTTAAAATGAGATGTAGTGCTTATTCATGATAAGATGTCCGTAACGACTGAAGTAATTACGCAATTATCAATCAATGCATTCAATCAATAATCCACTTACGATTTTTTGACTTGCTAGGGAAATGCTAAAATATACTTGTAATTTTTTACTATGTTCCCGGCAATGTAATGATACTCAGTGAATTGAAGGGGAAAAATGAGGCGCGCCAAGTTGACTTTTTTCCGAATCAATTTCCTATGGACGGGGTTTGAAACAGTATATTTTGTCATTAGGCCGAAGAAAACTTTTCTAGCGACGATGAGATTTACAACAATCATATTGGTCGACAAATTTTTTTGGCCCTATGACGCCCACTATTTTTTGTCATAACAGCCGTAGTCAGCGTTTCATGGACGCGAAGCAAAGCAACGCAGCCGTAAAATACTGTCTTACAGCCGGAATGACCAAAGCCTTTATTAACAATAATCGATTTTCCAATCGGAACTAAAACTGCGGAAAATTGTCCTAGTTGACGCTGTCAGCATAAACTTGGTATTTTTTAATATTTCCATGTGTTTTTAAAAATAAGATTATATCATAATCAGTCCGCCTACTCTGTGATTTCAACTATTCAGTAATTGTCCCTCGTTTCTGTCTTGGAGGCGATCAGATTCACGTCGACTTGGCGACATTTTTTCACAAAATTTTTTTGTGATTTTTTAAATTTAATATTAATATGATTTTTTAAAAAATTGTGTGATTTCATCCATGCAGTTATTGTCCCATACTTCTATTTTGCCATTAAATTAGCGTCGACTTGGCGCCATTTGTTCACAACATTTTTTTATGATTTTTTTTTATGTTAATTATTACCAAACAAATGATGCAATCAAAACTATTGGTACCTGATTTAAACCTCTCTGACATGTGTTAGTTCATCATAGTAATTTTCGTCAACGAAACATAATTTAAATATTCATGTTTTAGTTGTTAATCAGTCATTCAAGTTGATTATTGAAAAATATAACATAAAACATTTAAATTTGGAGGTAATATTTTAATTCAAATATTAACACTCGATTCCAAATGTTAAAGGGTAATTCACAAATATTAGGTTATTTAGGTAATTAATTAAAGATTAAAATGCTCAAAGATTGAAGCACTGAAAATTTTTAATTTAAAGGATTAAATTTAGGTGCAATGTTGAAATTGAATATTAACAATTGATTCCAATTATTAAAGGGTCATTTACAAACATTAAATTGTCTGTTTAATTAATTTATGATTAAAATGTTTTTATTGTAAATATTGAAAAATTAATTCAACTAAAATTTTTAATTTCGTTGTTATATTCAAACCATTAAATTATTAACAATCGATTCCAATTGTTAAAGAGTAATTCACAAATATTAGGTTATTTAGGTAATTAATTTCAACTGAACTAAAATTTTTAATTTGGTTATACTTGACTTGACTTATTGACTATAGACGGTCCTCGAGAGGAGGAGTGCACAATTAGCCTTGCGGCCATTTTGCGCTCTGCCTGGGGCAGCCGTCTAGTCGAGAGGTGTCAGCATCTGTGCCCCACGTGCCAATTCGTAGAGTCCCTTGAAGCCGTCCCTGTCGACGTAAAGATCTTTAAGGCAGGTGGTCTCAAAGACCACTGCATTTTGTACTGAGATGGTGGGGGTCCTCCTCCACCAAACCGCATCTCGGGCAAAGAGGGTCATCTCCCTTGCCGATTCTCGCCAGGTAGGCAGCTAACGGCCAGTGTCCCGTAATAAGCCCTAAAAGGGCTCGCAGCTTAACCCTGCTCATTGACACGAGTTCGTCAGCCAGTTTCCTGGAGGGTTCGCGGAGAAGGGATCTGGTGTGTCTGGCGCCCATCCCTGAGTTCCATCTCTCCACCACTCCCCTGTCCGCGCGCTTTTGGATTATTTCCTTTATGTAGTCTGAATGAACGCCAACGTGGTCTTCATCCACCGGCGCCATTGTCTGACATCCTTGTTTGGCCAGCATATCGGCTTTTTCATTGCCAAGTATGCCGGTGTGGCCTGGTATCCAGGACACCTTTAATTTGTTGCAGGTTGCAACTTTTCCATCAACTCTATGCAGTCGTTTACCAACCTGGAGCCACTCTAGTGTTTAAGTAGGGCCCCTAGTGCCCGTCTGCTATCCGAGTAGATGTGTATTACCTTGCCCTTGTCCTGCCTGGCCAGTATGATTCTGGCGCAGGCTCTCAGGGCAGCTAATTCTGTTTGAAGCGGGGTGGCGTGTGGGTCCAGTCCAAGGGCCTTCTCAGCGGAGGGTCGATTGGACCACACTCCTGCTCCCGCTCGGCCGCACCTCTTGGAGCCGTCCGTGTACCAGACCAGCCCGTGAGGTGGCGACCATTTAGAGTCTACCCAGGCCTGTGTGTCCACAGTGCCTAGGTTGACTTTGAACCTCTTGTGACGGTGCCATTCAGTTCTGCATGCGTCTCCCCCTTTGGACAGCGAGCCAAAGAGCACCCTGTCCTCCGTAAGGAGCAAAGCATGTCCCTTCTTGGCTTCCTCCAGGTGGCTTCCCTCCAGGTGCCAGTTAGTTTCCGCCTGGCTGCTGTTGACAGCGCCACATCTCTTATGATGAGGTGTGGCGGCTGCATGAAGAGTAGCGCCTCCAATGCCGAGGTGGGAGTCGTTCTAAGCGCCCCCGTAATTCCCAGCAGAGCAAGCCTCCCCAGTCTGTCCACCGTTTTCCTGTGGCAGGCCTTGTTCATGGCCGGCCACCAGGCAACAGCTGGATAGGTTAGTTGTGGGAGCATGATGGCTGTATAGATCCATCTTACGACCTTGAGTCTTAGCCCCCACGTGCTTCCAAACATCCTTCTGCAGTCCCAGTATGTTCCTATGACTTTGCTGGTTTGCATGTTGATGTGCTTTTTCCAGCTGAGTCTTCTGTCGATCCATAGACCCAGGTACTTTACGTCCTCTGAGAAGCTCAGTACTGTGTTATAGATAGAGGGGGGTTTGACCACCAATTTCCTCTTGTCAGTGTAGAGCACCATCTCGGTCTTTCTGGGGTTAACCTTGAGGCCATTTGATGTGCACCATCGCTGGACGTGATCTAGTGCCTTTTGCATTTTAAAAGATAGCGTGCCGCCGTCCTTACTGGACACAAGCAGCGCTACGTCGTCTGCATAGCCTATCGCCTCCGCCCCTAGCTCTTCTAGCCCAGCCAGGAGCCCATTCACAACGAGGAGCCACAACAGGGGAGAGATAACCCCGCCCTGCGGGCAGCCCCTTCCCGCGAGCGCCCTGACCGTGCTGTCGCTTAGGGAGGAGGAGACCGCTCTCGTTCGGAGCATAGCGGCTATCCATCTAATGATGGGCCGTTCGATGCCGAACGATGCTGCTGCTTTCTCCATGGTGCTGAAGGAAGTGTTGTCAAAAGCCCCCTCGTTGTCAATAAAGACACCGAGCGTGGCCTCTGTTGAAATTAATTGTTTTGAGGGGTGGTTTTATCTATTGAATACACATTATAGTATTAGATGTTTCTTTAATTATATGTTTAAGAGATAATAGTTCAGATATTTTCTTGGAGTAAAAAGGTACAACGTGGTGTCTACTCCGAAATCATTACAAGTACTTTTTCTTTACATCCGTCAGGATACATTCTGGAGCGAAGTTCGATCACTCAATAGATGTCGCGTAACTACTATTTAATATTCAATTGAGTAGTGTTGAAGCATTCAAATATTCCAACAGCCTCCTTTCTTGCTTTGGCACCTTCGATTTTGCCCACCAGGCGGTGCAGGGTAGTCTCCGTTGACCTGCCGACCTGGTACGCGTGCTGAGAGAGGCTGATCGGATTGGTCCTCAGAGCTCCCATTTTGATGTGCCTGTCAACGCGCCTCTCCAGTGTTTTCAGGAGGAAAGAGCTCAGACAGATAGGCCTGAAGGATTTGGCGTTGTCATAGCTGCACTTGCCCGGTTTGGGGATAAAAACAACCCTGACCTCCCGCCATTTATAGGGCACATGCCCAAGAGCAAGGCTTGCTCTTAGTGTTGGCAGCAGCCTGTGCAGGAGCTGCGGACCTCCCTTCTGCAGGAGCGCCCGATATATCCCGTCGGGGCCTGGGCTCTTATACATGTCGAAGGAGTGCACAGCCCACCTCAGGCCCTCCTTCGTAATTATTTCCGAGGCTAGGCGCCAGTATGGGCCACCCCTCTCTGTTTGCTCCAGAACCGTCCCCGTGCACGAGTCCCCCCTCTGTAAGTCAGAATCCGGGAAGTGCATTTGGATCAGATGTTCCAGGATGTCGCTGGGCTGTGTGATGATCTCCCCGTTAAGGAGTATGGTCTCCCCCAGCCCTTGCGTTGGCCCCCCTGAAAAGACCCTGCGAAGCCTGGCTACCTGTGGTAGGGCCTCCAGGTCATCACAGAATTCCTTCCAGGTGGTTTCCTTTGATTTTTTGATGAGTCTTTTGTACTCCCTCTGCACATTTCTGTACTGAGTCCAGTCCTCATGGCTCTTTGTTCTGTAGGCATGGTTCCAGAGTCTCCTGGACAGCACTCTGAGTCTGTTCAGTTCACGGCTCCACCATGCCACTTTTTTCCCCTGCCTGCTCGCCTTTATCGGGCATGCCTTGTGGAAGGCGCCGATCAGGGCGTCGTGGATTGTGTCCACTTCATCCTCTAATCTGCGCACATTGCTGGGCCTCAACCGCCGTTCGCCCAACCTTGCCTCCAGCTCATCTTTAAAAGAGGCCCAGTCGGTAGTCCTGGGGTTCCTGCGTGCTGGACCCTGCAACTTCCCGACTCTGCCTTCAATGCTGAATTTGATGGGTCTGTGATGGGATAGTGTGTCCTCCCGGTCCACCCTCCAGTCAACGCACCGTTTCGCTAGCCTCCTGTCACACAACGTAATGTCGATGACACATTGGCAGCGAGAAGTGACGAACGTGGGACTGGATCCCCTGTTTAGGATCTCT